GGAAGAGGAGCAGAGAAGAGGCAGGGGGGGGGGGGGTCCCCCCAAGCCCTTCCCCCTTCCCCCGACACAGGCACCTGGTTCCTTTATCTCCTCCTTGCAGATAGAAATACCGCAGTAATGAGGCTAATTAATACCCCACAACACTTGGCTGGCTGGGCATACCCCTTCCCAAAAGCAGATGGTCCCCCACTCTACTTGCCTGCCCAGGGCACGCACGCACACGGACCACAGGCACGGCGCACCCGCTCGTGCGATGCACGCACCCGGTGCACTAGCGTCATGAGCATGCCAGGTCTCTGCCCATGAAGGGGGCAACGTGGTACTTGGGGGATGGACTGGTGGGTGGAGCAGACAGTGGTGGGGGGGGGGGGAGCGGCTCCTCTCCCCCCCAAATTTACAAGGGTGCTGCGGGGGATGCAGGGCGCAGGACTTACTTGGTGAGCTCCGGGATGGCATCAAGGGCGCTGCCGTACACCTTGCAGGAGCTGTGCTGCTGGTGGAGTGCCGCGTTCCCCCCGCTGTGGTCCCTGTGGACAGGGAGGTCAGCGCCCCTAAATGTATCCCCCCATATCTCCCCCCCCCCCAAGTGGGGTAGGGCTGGGGGTCGCCTCAGCTGGGGCACCCTCCACAGCAGCCACTGACCCCCCCCAGGGCCCCCTCTTGCCCCTTACCAGTGTTTGTGGGTGCAGAATATGGCCTCCAGCATCACCCCCTCTTCTTCAATGGCAGCCTGGGAATGGAGGGGGGACAACAGAGAGATTTGGGGGACACACACAGACCCTGAGTACCAGTCTCCCCCTAACGCCCTGCCCCCCCAGCTCCCCAGGTGCTGGATGAGCCCTGCCACCCTCCAACCTTGCCCCAGGCACTAAGGGCTGCAGATTAGGGGCAGATTTGTCCCCCTCTGCCCCCAAAAAAGCTGGAGACATGCCACCCCCTCACCCGGGGACACCCTAACACTGGGTTGGGGGGGGCTGCAGGGGTCTCACCTGCACAGCCAGCGGGTCGGAGGGGTCGACGACAGCTGCCTGGCCGGAGCCAGTGTCAATGACCAGGTAGCTGTAGTTGTTGGAGAGCACGGGAATGGGCAGAATTTTCACCCCTGGGGACGGATGGACAGACAGACATCAGGACATGACCCCCCCTGCCCGGGAAAGGAGGGGGGGACCAGGCCAAACTCCCCCCATCTTAAATCAAATTCTCAGTTAAACACACTTTGGGCAATTTGGTGATGGCAACCCCTCCCCACCCCAAAGTCCCAGTGTTGGGGGACACGATGGGGCCACGGTCGGGGGGGCTCGCCAGGACTCACCGGGGAAGCGGCAAGGCTGGGGCGTGGAGTGGCCGTGCGGGTACCGCTCCCGGGCCTTCTTCACCTGCCGCTGGTAGAAGAGGTAGCCCAGCCGCGTGCGGGCGTACAGGCTGTACCTGGGGAGGGCAGACACCCCCCGGCGTTAATCCCCAGCCCCCCCAAGAGCCCACTTGGGGAGGGGACTGCTGCCAGGGCCAGGACCTCCACGGGGGACACATACAGGGTCACTTTCCCACGCATGGGGACTGGAGGTAGCATCGTCCCCCCCTCCCCTGCCCCAGATCTGCAGCGAGGGCAGAATCGGTTCCCCAGGCAGTTCGCCCCCAGCTGCTCCAGGCAGCAAGGACCAGAAGGGCAGGGGCATTGCTGCAGGGGTGTCCATCTGTCCATCCATCTGTCCAGGAGGGCTCTTGCTCACTGGGAAGGGCTGGAGCCCCAGGGCTTCGCCCGCAGCAGCACTCTGGCTGCTGGGCATCCCCGGCTGAGTCCCCCCCCCCCCCCCGAGGGGGCCATGCCCAGGGCTGACCCCGCTCCGAGGGCCTGCCCTGGGTGCCACAGCCCCGGGGAAGAGGGAAGCGGGAGCAGAACAGGCCGAGGGAAAGGGAAGCAAGAAAGGTGCCACGCAGGGGTGCAACAGACACAGGCTGGGGGGCTCGGGGGGACCCCCTATTTATACAGCAGCGTTTCGGGGCTGGGGAAAGGGACCGGTGCCATGAAGGATGTGCAAAGCCCCAGGTTGCAAAGCCCATCCCCGGGCCAAGGGGGGCTGGGCCAAGGGGCTGGTTACATCCTCTGCGCTGGCACCAGCACGTACACCGGGGAGGGATCCTGGCAGGAGCCGGGGGTCCCCTGGGGACCGGGGGCTCCTCACCGTGCAGCAAGGGCCACGGCTGGGGCACCGGGGTGGGTTGGTGATTAGACCCGAGGGAAGGAGCCCCGCGGGCGGGGGGGGAGGGTGTCAGATCCGAGGGTGACCGTCACCGTGCTGGGGGAGCCGGTGGCTGATTCCCGGCCCTGCGAAGCCCCCCCGGTAGCCGG